CACCCAAACACACCCCAACACCCGTGATAGGTTTATTTACATTGATTGAGTTAACTCTAGGATCCTAGTCTCCTGATTGGAAGGGGACTAGGATCCGACCGTCTATTGTTCTGGTGGAGCGAAGCTCAGGCTCTTTGCATGACCACGAGCGGACCAGCTGAAACCGGATTGCGTACATTGTTGGGTCGGTACACAACAGGGATCACAGTTCGTGGCTAAATTTTGGAAAGAATTACTAAAAGTTCTGGGGGTGGAACGAGGCTTAAGCAGTGACTATCACCCCAAACCGGATGGCCAAACTGAACACACCAACCAGGTCTTGGAATAGTTCCTCAGATGTTTTATAAACTATCAACAAGACAATTGGGTGCAATTGTTACTATTTGCAGAATATAGCTATAACAATTCAATACATAGCTCCATAGGAATGTCTCCTTTTATGGCAGTACATGGAACTGAAGGGGGTCCTCTATCAACACTGAATTTGGAGGAACCTGTGTCTGGAGATGTCCAAGTCTGGTGGTCTACAGTGACAAAGGGGTGGGAAACCCTTCAGAAAAGATTGGCCAAAGCGAAAGAGGACTACAAACGTTTTGCTGATAAGTGTACAAGCCCAGAGTGACAGTATTTGATATATTACTGGCAAGCTGTCAGTCAGCCATGAGCAGCAGTCTTAGATCTAACTGATCTAGAAGTGACAGTCGGGAGTCAGGTGACTGGCAGATTGCATCAGACTCTTGAGGTTAATAGGTTGAAAACCTTCTTATCTGTTAAATTTGGTGCCCCAATTAATTGGGCCACAGGTTGTTTTCTTAAAAAGTATTTTTAATAGAAACTATAGATAGCAAACCCTGTCAGAGAAAAGATTGAGAGTCCAGTGGCACCTTTAAGACCAACGAAGGTTTATTCAAGGTATGAGAGTGTAAATAGTGTAAATACTCTGTACATACTGAAACAGAGTATCTGCCATTTTACGGCGTTTCTAACTACCGTCACAGAGTGGGACTTGGCCCCAGGGGACTCAGTGTATATTTCTACCAAGCATCTCCGAGGGGTGCAACCAGGGAAAAGGCTGGGGTGGAAGTATGTGGGGCCTTTCAAGGTTACCAGGGTGATCAATAAGTTGACTGTAGAGGTTGACTTGCCAAAAAATCTGCATCACGTGCATCCTGTGTTTCATTATAGTCTATTGAAGAAGGACCCTGGACCCTCACTGTAGTGTATTCTAATTGAATTGAATACATGTACTGATTGTACGTGAATCCCCTCATAGACATCTCATGTTAAGCTTCGTCCTGGGCTAGGATCCTAATGTAACCTATAGGAACACTAGCCCAGAAAGCAATATCCAATCATCATGAAGAAGCTCCCTGAGCGGGAACGTTTGTGATTGGCCTTTAATGGTTCAACCTTATTGGTTGTCAGATGTACAGTAGGCGTGGCTACATTAGCCGGGAATGTTTAAATACAGAGCAGCTGCTATGTTAAAGCTGTTCTGGCTGGCTGATGTTGATCCGTGTTGAAAGTGAGTTCGAGTTGAAGAATAAAAGCCGCATTCTTGCTGAATCACTCTCCGACTCTTTGTTAAGTTCGCGACTTAACACTCACCTTGGACTCATCATCGCCCTATTCCCCCTCCGCTGATGATCGTCGACAAACCCCACCAGGAGGTGGAGACTATTCTGGACTCTAAGTTAAATAGAGGCAGTCTACCTGATTAAATGGAGGGACTTTGGGCCGGAACATAACGAATGGGTTCAAAGTTCAGATGTTAAAGCTTCTTCTCTTCTCCGTGCTTTCCATAAACACAGTCCTCACACTCTGGGAGGGGGGGGGGCAGAATGTCAGGCTGAATTTCGTTCCTTTGTATTTCTCTTCACTGCTTGCCATGATATAGGGGGGAGGGAATTCCTGAGGGGAATAGCCATAACCATTTCCCTTGAGCTGTGCCCCATCACCAGTTCCCATGAGAGCTGACCTTGGAGACTCTTCCGCAATGCTAGAAAGGATAAGGTGCCATATATCTGTCAGGGTTGCCATAGTGACCTAGGGGGCTGGATGATGATGTATGCATGAGATGTGGGGTGTTAATTGCTTTACCTATAACTGATTTTTGGCGCATTTTCTCAGTTCTGACAAAGAGCATGTTTCCAAAAGTCAGCATATCTCAATAAACTATCACTGCTTAAGTGTGTTGTGGAGAGTGCCTTTACTGGGAGACCTGACAGGGGTCATTCTATCCCCCTGCAAGACAATGCCAGCATCCACTGAGTCTCTACACATTTTCCAGACTTGACGGAGTCATTCAGCCTGGAACTCTAGAACCCAGAGTAAAACTTTTGTATACCTGGAACAAAACTTGGTCTTAAAGGAACCACTGGACTCAAACTGCTTCAGACCAACATGGCAACCCACCTGGACACAACCACGAGAAGGGGGAACTCCGGTGCAGCCATTTCCTGTGCTGCCTTCAAGGCACCAGCCGCCTCCGTCGCACTGGCCTCCTCCAGCAACCCCCGCACTAGACGTGCCCCAGATCCAGGGGGACGATGCTGGGCCTGGGCTCGTGAGGCCTGGGGCTAACCCTTGCAGGCTCATTCTACAGCCTGACTGACTCCACAGTGTTGTTAGAGGAGGATGCCATGAAACAACCCCCCCCCCATGTGTCATGCCCAGAGAAATGGCTCAGCGTCTGCTTTCTCTCCAGGCAGACCAACAAGATTCTTTTACCTCCCCCCCCTCATCCCCCCCTCCAATTCCTACCCAGCAATGAGGAAGAGAAGGTAAAGAAATACTTCAGGAACAGCCTTCCTCTCGTGTGCGCACACACACACACACACACACACACACACTCTCTCTCTCTCCTTTTCTTTTAAATAGGTTAAGAAGCTGGTCTCCAATCCCCTGTGTGATACACAGAAACCAGATCCCCACCTAAACAGTTGTGGAATGCCCGGGGGGGGGAGGGGGCTGTCTGTGTGTCTGGCGGGGGAGAGAAAACACCCGAACTGGGATCACAGAGACACACGGACAAAAGTGGGAGGAGACTGAGCCGTGAGAGGGATGGAAGGGAAAAGGGAGAGCAGTGTGTGTGTGTGTGTGGGGGGGCAGCCTCTCTCTCTCTCTCTCTCTCTCTCTCTCTCTCTCTCTCTCTCTGGTCAGTGCTGAGGTGCTGAGGCTCATCCACACATCTGCTCAACCTCCACCTATTCCACTGACAGGGGCTCTCGGACAAAGCCCTTCTGTATTCCCAGCTCTTTGCTTGAGTGTTCCATGACACATTCTCTGGAGTTTGCTTTGCAAACACAGACAGTGTATTTACATGATGTAATATAAAGTTGTGCCGTATGCCAAGGCTTGGGGAAATGTAGGTCAGCAGAGGGAGCCTGCATCCACTGGTATGATCAAAATCCATTGGTGGCTCTTCTTATATTGTGGAAGCACAATGCCCTTGGCAGGGCAATCCCGTCCCTTGCGGGCCCTTGTTTGGTTTATTAGTGACAACAGCTTCGGGCTCCCTTGGTCTCACTGGAGCTACTTTCACGCTGCCACAGAACCAAAGGAATCCCTTCTACCTGGGCATGGGGGCCTTTGGAATTATGCTGGGTGGCAGAAGTTCTTCTCACCTCCCTTTTGGGAAGGAAAGAACAAAACAGGTTCTCATCCCAATGGATAGGATACCTGCACAGAGATGGAAACCAATCGAGCATTTGGATGCAGAAAACAGAATGGAGACAGGTATTTGTGTGTTAAGTATACAAACTGAGGAGGCGCACTGGCAATAAAGGTATTTGGAATGTGAGGAGTGGATGGAAAGACCTGCTTAATTTAGAAGCCATCCACTAAATTGGACCAGTGGGGAGGTAGCCAAAAACGGAAAGGGGGGGGGGGAGGAAATCCAGGCTGTGGTCTCACACTGGTGGCTTGGTGCAATATGGCAGCACCCCTAATTGTACCGGTTGAAAGTGTTGCGGGGCATGTCATCCAGACAGCACACCCTGCTGCGGGGGTTACCCACGTGGCCATCCCGTGGTCAAGCGTCCGCATTACTGCAGCGCCTCAGACACAGGGGCTGCCCAGTCATTTTTTAAAACGCAGGCGAGTGCATACATGCTCATGTGCACACAGGCAAAATCTAACCCCCCACCCCAGTGGCGGAAACAGATCTGCAGGTTCAGACGTCCCTTCCGGGTTCCTTTCGCTGCAGGGAAGTTCAGCCGTCGGAAAACCCAGAGGGGACCACGAACAACCCGTTAATACCGGACTTCCCCCGGTACCTGTTTGTTCCACTTCCACTGCGGAAGAAGACGGGCTGCCGACGACTGCGCCATGCGAGGCAGATGCTCTCCTCTGGAGGGGCCCATTTAATCCACTCAGGTAACACCACTACGACGCAACAAGCTGTGGGTGTGTGACTGCAGCCCCAAGAAGAGCAAAACTATAGGTGGGCTCTATACGTTTCCATGGGAGAAAGGAGTTAGTCAAAGGATTAAATGTAATTAGGCACACAAAATGCTTGAGGGCTATGCTGGTTTTGGAATACCACTGTTTCCCCCTCGAAGGTTTTATTAATCTTCTTAAAATCAGATAACAATAGAAGTGACTAGGGGTGTGCATTTAGATACATCCCAGCCTGAAATTAGTTGTTTTGGGTTGTTTCAGGGGAAAACCCACAGCTGAGCTGGCTGCCGCTGTGGGCATTCAAATGAATGGCCCTTCCTCTGAAGCAAGGACCCTCATAACCTATCCACCACAACTCAGAACACCATTCATGAAGAGTCCTTCCGAGCTGGAAAGGGCTGAGTGGAGAGGACACTCCAAGGTCTAGAAGAAATATTGCATACAGGAAAAGCTAGATTTACTTTGAATTCTTTTGAATATTTGTCAAATACTCTGAAAAATCAGAAAGACACAGACTCCTCTGTGTAAAACCACACACACACACACACACACACTGTAGCAGAATGACAGCTAGGACACGTTTATGGATCTTTGCTTACCCCACAGCTTTCCAGAGTGATCTTCAGAGTCCGTGTTGGGGCCTTCGGGCACTAAACTCTCCCTCCCAGTGCCGGCATCATCTGAAAGGAAGGAAGAAAGGGAGGCAGGGAGGTGAGAACACACCCAGAGGGCCGCCTTTGGGTTGCAGTGCAGCTTGTGGCTGTGCTGCCTTTGGAATGGGACCACTTGTGGCAGGGCCTCTGCTTAATCCCTTGGCTGTTTGTGAGGTTTTCAGCTGGCTACTAATGGGAGAGGCAATTCATTCATGCTTCCACGAATGGAGAATCAAGGCCCCTTTATTTATGCTTATGGGTGGTGCCCCTAAGGAAGAGACGGAACAGTTTTACACTCCTTTACAAATGATGGCATAAACCAAAATCATAGTTGAGAAAGCAGCAAAGATTTCTGGGAATCAGGCTTGGGGAGGCAACACTCCATAGCTTCTAGAAGATCGAAAATGCGAAATGTATTTTACTTATTTTTGAGGGCAGCAATGCTGAACTGTGGTTTAAAAAACATTCCGGTTAAAAGAAATGCACCGGGTGTCTCCCTTTATTGCCAGTATTGTCTCCTTTGTTGTACTGATAGGGCTCATCTGTGATGAGATTTGGAAGCTCTGCACCAGGTGTCTCCCCTGACCCCGCCAGTGCCACAGGGAAACCTGGTGCAAGGGAAGAGAGCAGCTCCCATTCCAGCTCAGCCAACTCAGGAGCACGAGGAACTCAGGCATTCCTCAACAGCCGGGATAAGAAGAGGGTCTGCTCTGGGTGTTCACTGGATACACTTAAGAGGAGGCGAGATCACGTGTCCTACAAAGTGACCGGCCGTCCAACAATCCAAGCCATGCTTCTGAGTGACATAGGAGAGGTCCCCCTTCATGCACCTAAACAAGGCTCTGATTTCCATTGGAAGCCAGAAGTCCATAACCAGGGCTTGCACAGTGAAAGCTCTGGTTACGTCTCATGAGATGCCGGTGTCTGATGAGTACTGATATTTTGTCACCTGAGAAATCCCAGGGGTGGGAGCCATGCAAGGCTGCAACAGCCGAAACCGGAGTGAGTGCTCTGACACCGTGAAGACCAGCCCAACGATCGGGGCCGGCCCTTCTAGGCACTGGGTCAGATTCTTGAGTAGTGGAACCTGACTCACAAAACCTGGTGCCACAGGAGTATTTACCCTCCGAGATGCCCTCTCCCCACTTGGCTCTCTGTTCCAGCTGAGTTTGAGTCCCGGGTGTCATTACGGGAGGACTTACCCAATGTGTACAGAGCCCCTTGAAAGGGACAAAAATGCAGAATGAATTAAAACGGGACAGCATAAAAATCACAAGCCACAAAATCAAGGGCCCCTATCGTGCAAATGTAGCCAACAGAGCAGAGAGGAAGGACAGCAGGATGCCTCTCTGGAAGACGAAGGTACCTTCAGCCACATCACGGATCCTGCTGGAGTTGAGAGGCACCGACTTCAATCCAGACTAATTCCAGTTCCGGACATAAATCTGCATTTGCTCAGTCAGCATAAACTATCCGGTCAGCAACATGAAAAGATGTGGAAGCCAAAAGGGAGCAACGCTAATGGCTAAATCTTGGCTATACTGAACATGGAAAAGCAACTTAAATGCATGCTCAGAAATCCTTCAAAAGGAAGGACTTGCTGTCTCTAGCTGTTTTAACGGCAAGAAAAAAAATCTCCCCAGTAAATCTGGTAAAGGGAAGTTGGGATAATTTGAGAGAGAAATGGAAAATATGGAGAGCCCCAGTACTCTCAGTCAGTGCTACACGGGAAGATCATGAATGCCCTTTCAGAGCGTGAAGTTACGTCGGGCTCTTGCTTGCCCCCCTCTCTTGAAGGATACGAAGGAGGACACCCAATGCCAATGGGTGTGTGTGTGTGTGTGTGTGTGTTGTGTCCCCAATTGCTGCTACAGGTACAGTTTTCCTGGAAGTCCATGCTACTGCCTCTTAAGAGGGAAAAGAAATACTGAAGGCAGAACACTTAAAACCTTTTTTCAGGTCTCCAAAACACTTAGAGGCCAGGAATGAGAAGCTCCTGAAAGGGACCACCACTCTGTAAACATAGAAAACCATCCTTTTAAAAAGTATGCACCATCCTTTTTAGAAGGATGTTGCTTTGATGCTTCCAGGGTATTGTAGTAAGTGAAACAAAACAGATTTATGAGAAATAATTTTCGATACACACAAACTAATTCCTAGTTGCGGTTGGAGCGGTGGCGCAGGCAGTTAAACGCCTGCCTTGTAACATCATTCGAACAGCCACTATGGCTGTTCGAGTACCACCGTGGTCGAGGTGAGCTCTCGACCTTCGTCCCAGCTCCCGCCCACCCAGCGGTTTCGAAAGCAACTTAATTGCAAGTAGATAAATGGGTACCCACCCTTAGACGGGTGGGGGGCACCCTGTATGGCGGCTGAAGAACGGCTGAAGAACGGCGGCGGCGACGGCGGCGGCAATGATGGCGGCAATGATGGCGGCGGCGACTCGAGAGACAGCGAATGACGTGGTGGCGTGGCGGCGGCAGATGGACGCGACCTGGAGGCGCAGTGAGCGATCCCTGGTGGCCAGGAAGGACTACACCGAAGCTGCCGCGGAAGAGAAAGGAGCATGCGCAGACGCCCAGTACCAGCCCTGCGGAGCCGGAAGGACGTGGCCGGGCCGGATACAGGCGGAATCGCGCGCCTCAAGAAAGGAAGAGAGCCAACCACCACCGAAAAAACGCCGGGAAAGAACGCCGCCAGCCAGAGACCCGACCTGAACCGAGCCAGCCGATGGAAGAAGGACAACAACGACCACCATAGGGGGGTGCTGGTAGGTTGTCCCTATCCCTTACACATTGTGGCCCTAGTTAGGGTAGAAGGGTGACTAGCACCACTAAATTCTGTAAGCCGCTCAGAGACCCCTAGCCAGGGATTCGAGCGGGGTATCAAATTGAAGGTTAAATAAAATAAATAAATAAATAAAACAGATCCAGGTGGGGGCAGCCGTGTTGGTCTGAAGCAGTAGAACAAATTTTGAGTCCAGTAGGGGCACCTTTACGAAGAAGAAGAGATGGGATGTATACCCCATGGGCCCTTCACTACCCGAAGGAGTCTCAGAGCAGCTGACAATCTCCCTTCCCTTCCCCTCCCCAAAACAGACACCCTCCTGTGAGGTAGGTGGGGCTGAGAGAGTTCTTCTGAGAACTGCTCTGAGAGAACTTGTGACTGACCCAAGGTCACACCAGCACCTGCATGTGGAGGAGTGGGGAATCAAACCTGGTTCTCCCGATTAGAGTCCGTGCTCCTAACCACTACACTAAATTGACTCTCTTAAAGGTGTCACTGGACTCAAAATTTGTTTTTGCAAAATCATACGTTGGAATAATGCCCGAGATGAAAGTTTTGAGAATCATAAACTAAGCCCTGAGCATTTCACCAAGGAAGGCAGCAAAGGGACCTCCTGAGCCCAACCTAAGGCTGAGTGCTCAGAGTAAGTTGCCGGCTTCATCAACGAGGACTGATCCTGACTGCAGCAGGATTGCTGCCCTGCCTTCACCTCCCAGCCTCGTGCTCCAGCCCCTCCTGCCCTCAACGCCAGCCGTGCACACCAACTCATTGGCATTCTCAGCAGCAGCATTCAACCGCCTGCCAAGCCTTTCACGTGAACCAAACGGCTATGAATATGCCAGATCCTCTGAAGATGCATCTCTGCTCATTATCCAGCCAAATCCTCCAACTGTGGACCCAAATACAAGACTCAGGAAAACCTTCCCCCCAATAAATCAAGGGAAGGGGCTGGATTTAAAATGGACTTAACTATACAGAACAGGGAAACATCTTGAAAGCAAAACCCCATCAGCCTACTACAGGGAAAATAGAGAAAAGACATGGCTACTGAAATACAGGGGAAATCGGACCTCTTTCTGCTTTTTATCTCAGCAATAGCTAAGGAATCAACTACAAACTACATGTGGGAGACTGGAATTTAATGCCCGTTAAGACGCAGGGAGGGGAAAACAAACCTGACCCAAAAACTGGAGTCAAGAACCAAAAGAATGAGAAGAAAGTCTAATGAAGGGCCAATAATAAAAACCTAGCTAAAACTTATAATATACAACAATACAAGATTTTTTAGAAAAACAGTTAAAAATATACATAAGGGCCCAATGAAAGCCTCGTAAAAAAGTATAGCCTAAACACAAGGGCCAATACACACATGACCTAATGCGTTTCTGCCCTATTGGGGCAAACAATATTGAGGTACACCTAACTTAAATACATATTGCAATAAGATAACCAATAAGTGAATATTGGAACAGGAAGAGGAAGGCTTCATCTTTAAGGTAAAGGTTTCCCTTGCTCAAAAGCTAGTTGAATCCGACTCTGGGTGTGTGTGTGTTTCCAAGCCAAAGAGCCAGCGCTGTCCAAAGACGTTTCCATGGTCATGTGGCCAGCATGACTAAACACCGAGGCGCACAGAACGCTGTTCCCTTCCCACTGAAGCGGTACCTATTTATCTACTTGCAATGTCTTGCTTTTGAACTGCCCGGTGGGCAGGAGCCCAGTCCAACAAGGTCTCATGTCCGATCCGGCCCTCGTAACCAATGAGTTCAGCACCCCCTGGGCCTATGCGCATTCTTAAAATCACAGAACAGACTGAACAAACCACCTGCATTTTATGGTTCAGCTACATTATGTGGTGGTGGTGGTGATGATGATATCATCATCATCATCATCATCATCATCATCATCATCATCATCATCATCATCATCATCATCATCATCATCATCATTATTTAGATTTTTACCCCGCCCTCCCTGTGAATTCTGCATGACACTGCAAGAAATCTGGCATGAGGGAGTGTGAGCAGAGGATTTGTGTCTGAAAGGAACATCCTCGTAATTTCAGATCCAGAGCAGGTGGAAAACCTCCTAAGCAAGCGTGCAATAATCTTAGCGTGAATTTTCTGGTAGGAATGGCAGTGAAGCAAAATAGGCTCGTTTGTCTCAACACAGGCATATCCTCTCTGCTCATGGGATCTTTCTATAATGGCCCTCCACTACTGCAGAGCGGAGTACACTCCATC